GGCCAATCCAGGCCGGTACCTCTGTCGGTACCAGCCATACCAGTCCAGTCCGCTGGGGTATACCCCAACCATTGTCTGTTTTCACCCTCATTCTTCACTTGCACATTTCTGGAGTATGTGCGTTGGAGTCCTGCGTGGGAGCTGCGCTGTGCGTCATCTTGCTCCCCCTTCTTCCTCCATCTCCATCTCTACCACTAGCGGAGCACCATACCTGGTGGGTCCGCTACATTCATCCACAACACAACGACAAGTGGTTTGCTACGAGGAGACTTTATTACTTTGTGGTAGCTTATATAACCGACCAACTTAAAATTATAATGTTGAAAAACAGTATCCCGATGTTATGTTTGAAAAACTATCAGAGACTCGGAAAAACGCTCACGAAGCACTTATCGGTATGACGCGGATGTCTATATTCTACATAATGACTATAATCAAAATTTCAAAAATTAAAAAAAGCGGACCCTTTGTTAGCACAGCTATGGCTGGGAACGCTTATTATGATGTGCACAATGATTATCTAAGTCATCCTGCTGTAGTCGATGCTCGCGCGCTCTAGATAAAATCTTGGCTAGATAGCGATCACTTGCTTCGCTTGAGTCTATAACATGACCTCTGCCTCCAAGTGCAGCAAAACGTCATCTTCGTACGGATCAAGTGCGATGCGTAGGCCCTGAGCTTGCTCCTTAGCACTCGAGAGACTCCTTGATATATGCCTTCTTCCCGGTAGAAACCTCCACGGTATAGGTGGTAATCCAGGATTCCAGCTCAATGGTATGAGTGGCAGTCCAGGATTCCAATGACCCGTTGCAATCTAACTAGAAGCAGGCAAGAAAAACAACCACCATTTGCTGAACTGTACGAGTGCGAAAACTTGGATGATGTCCAGTTTATCCGTCGGTGTAGCAACACAAAGGAGGACACCGTCGAAAGGAACGTATTAAACTTTATCAAGTGAGAATGATGGTCTTAAGCCATTTGTATGCGGCAGTCGTATACTTGATGGCGATATATATAATAGATGTGAAGTAGGCGGATAGTGGAAGCTCATTCCATTGGAAGGTTGTCAACGTTGGGACAATTTACATAAATTACGGGGGTCGATAACCAGTAGACACCTATCAAATATATAGGACCGCCAAGCATTTGTTTACTAAGAAGATGGGGACGGGGATATTAATTTTTCACAAATTTTCAGCAAATATATCATGCAGATAAATTGTGTCACGAGTAGGCAACCAGATCCTGTACAAGAGTACAAAACAACATGTCATATTGAAATGTATATTGGGGCATTCGTGGTCACCAAAGCATTGCGTTGCATAAATGACGTAAATAAATAATATAACGTTGCCATGGGACCTCGCTCCACTGCTTTAGAAATGTGCAAAATGATAATGGATCGTCCGCTATAACTTGGAAAGATACGTTGTCATATTTTCCAATTTTTCTTGGATGTGAGCAGTAGTGAACCGAGGTCCATCGTCCGAACAGTGTTGCCAAATTCAACTGATCCTGTCTAAAAATAAACGCAGACCTGTGCAACCTTACCAAAACTTTTGCGGCCACCGGCCAAAACCGAATAAACAATGTCACGCTTGCATCAGAGCTTGGCGAACAATGGGGACTTGATGCTCATGAACTTTGTCCGACATTTATTGGTGCCTTAATATATAAATAAGTGAAGGTCACTCCCACTAAATATTATACCTGCTGCATATGCGGTTCAATGCATGAGGGCACCAGCGGCATTGTTCTTCCAACATATCTTAGGATGGGCTGTACTACGTTGCATATGCGATTAGGTCTCTGCACAAACATCGAACACTCGTGCAACTGAATCAAAGCAGTTGGTGGCGCATGGCAAAGGAAAAACAAAAATGCCACACTCACATTCCGGCAAAGCTTGGTGCGCAGCGGAACCCTCCCGGTCGCTCCTTTAAATAATATGCGTTTATTTTATTTTACACCAGTACCCCTTACTTACGCGGGTGAAGCTGCACTGGCCCATCTTGTTACCATTCTAAAGCTCATCCTGGTGTTCTGCGGTGCGTACAATGTAAACTATGTATGTGAGCATGATATGCCAGTATCCATTCAAGGGCCAGATGGTAAGCAGCCCAGCCTATTTTCCTACGAGTTATCAAATATAGAAATATTGTTGTTGTTATAACCATTACTGTCGATTACTCTCTATCTGTTATCTATCGGCTAATTACATCATGCTGTTGTGACTGTTGTGTCTGTTGTGATCTGTTGTGATCTGTTGAGATCTCTGTTGTGATCTGTTGTGATCTGCTGTGATCTTATGTGATCAGTTATGATAAGTCCTTAAAACCTGGTGCCGGCCTTTATACCAAAAAAAGCCTTGTTTCGGGATAATGGGTTTCACTCCCGTACTCTAGACTCGCGAAATTCCAGGGGTGCAGCATCGCTCCATTTACAACTCTTGAATTTGGGCCCCCCAAGCTGTCAGAAAGGACTCCCAGAAAGAACTTCCCGAACCTCGAGAGTTGGCCGTCGCTCTAGTTACTCTCGAAAACCTCTTTCAAGTTCCAACAGCTGTCAGACGCCCCTCCTTTTCAGAGCACTCCAGATCGCTCTAGTGTTCCCAGCCTGCAAAACCTTTTTTTTTTTTTTTTTTTTTTTTTGTTTAGGGGGGGGGGGGGGGTCCCCGTGTCCCGGGGCGGGGCGCCTCAATCCCCCCCCCCCCCCCCCCACCACAACTTCCACGGCCTGCAAAACCTTTTTTTTTTTTTTTTTTTTTTTTTTTTTTTTTTAATGGTGGTCAGCTGCGTCTTACTAGGAGGAACCTCCTATTGCAAGAGTGGTCCTGGAGTGGCAGATGACACACCAGCCATATTGCTGTCAGGTAATGCTGTTGGGTTGTGGTCTTGAAATTGGAGAGGCCCACCTTAGGGAGAAAGTGCCGTGACAAAGGGAAATTTGTCTCTTTTTGAGGGTCTGACAGCTCTGGAAGGACCTGTGATTTTTCGAGAGTCTAGACTCTAGAGTAGTGGAGTGAGACCCAATGCCAGCTCTTTCAGCACTGGCAGCCAGTTGTGCCGGGATACATTGTTGCCGCATTTGGGAGTGCAAATTTTGTTTCCAAGTGAGACCCAATGCCAGCTCTTTCAGCACTGGCAGCCAGTTGTGCTGGGATACGTTGTTGCCGCATTTGGGAGTGCAAATTTTGGTTCCAAAGCCTGGGCAGTTGTGGAGCCAGTGCTTGAACCCAATGGTTGGTATGTTCCAGATGTCATTGCCACATTGGATCAGTACCTCTGGGCCTCAGCCCTCCTCCGTGCAAGCACGGATGCGAACCGGCGACCTCGGCCTCAACAGCCAAGTATCTTAACCACTACAGCCAGGACTCGTGTTCAAAAGCGGAACCATACCGGCCGTGATATGATGACATCCGCCCCAACCCTGCAAGGCTGTAGTGTCCACACTCAACGCACACCACACGGACGCTGGCAATCACCGCAAACTTGTATGTCCCAGATGTCAGCTAGGGTTCGCACCCCACATCACATCCACGAGCTCCCCAAAGCCCCTACACCAAAGCATGGGAATGATATTTTCCAGGCTGGAATATTGTATAGCCTTTTTTGGTCCTGCAAAAGTTAGCCAAGGGTGTACCGGGGACCATTTTGATAGAAATGGAACTTTTGCAGCCTCTACTCATCCTGTTGTTTTTTTGGTTGTTTTAGAGGGGCCAGATTCTTTTTTCTTTTCTTTTTGCTTTTTTTTTAACTAAGTTACTAAGCTGTATTCTTCTCTCAATGTCACCCCCTTCACTATCTACCTACCACCACTACTACTAGGCCTATACAGGGGACCCCTGCAAGTATAGCTATTTCTCACAATTAAGGGGATGCAGACA